CCGCGGCGGCCGCCGCCGCTGCAGTGCCGTGCGTCTGCTGCCGTCCTCCACCAAATCAGCAGCTCTGCCTCTCCAGCGGTCCGGAGTTTTGGACCGACGGCGACGGCGGTGAGAGCAGGGGATAAACATCAGCACCTCATCCCGCGGCTCTTTGTGAAGCAAAGCGTCAACGTCATGTGACTGAGAGAACGCCACCGCTGCAGCGGCGTGATAAGAGTCTGCTGCTGGACCAATGGGGAGGAGGTCGTTAACATAAACCTGCAGAGCTTATCAGACCACACACACACACGCGCACACACACACACACACACACACACAGTCGCTGTAACATCATCATCATCTTCATCTTCAGTCTGCTGTTGTTAACATTCGTTCCAGTAGGGGGCGGGGCCTGTCATAATTAGACTTCACTAAAGAAAAACAAAAAGCACTATTTGAAACCAGTGAGCTGGGAACAACAACAACAACAACAACAACAACAACAACAACCATCATGCCATTAGTTTATTCCTCCTCCTCCTCCTCCTCCTTCCATATTTTCACTCAGATTCTTTACCCACTGAAGCAGGAACAGTTTGACCTTTGACCTTTGCGATCATTGACTCTGGAGCTCATTCAAAACCCAGCTGGAGCAAACACACACACACACACACACATACAATCAGCTAAGTGTGTGTGTGTGTGTTGGAAAATTTCTAGTACATCTTGTCTAGCGGCCCGAGTTCACAAGTCAGGCTCAGAGGTCAAAGGTCAAACCCACGGTCAAGATTGTCCTGGAAGGTGTGTGTGTATGTGTGTGTGTGTTGCACCAAACCTCAGAGAGAGTTGATCCACTGCTGCTGCATCACTGAGCTCTAATGACTTCACTGTTAGAAACCATGTTCAGATTTACTGCAGTGACACAGAGCACCTACAGGAGGCAGCAGAGGGACTTGCAGCTGCTGTGTCTCTCTGAACTAATCACTGATTTTCTCTCTGAGGTTTGGTCTGAAGTAAAGTCACTGATTTTCTCTTCATGATTTCAAAACATTTCTCATCTTCTTTGATCGTGTTTTGACACGTGGCACTGCTGCCCCCTGCCTGCAGGTGTGGCTGTGACGTCACAGAGTGGGAGAGGGTTAGATTGATGATTTAGTGAAAAGATCATTTATTGAAGAGAAGAGCAGTGAGTGTGTTCACAGGAGCATGGTAGAAGCTGGTGTGTTTATAAAACAGTTCCAGGAACCATTCACCCAGCAGCAGCAGCAGCAGCAGCAGCAGCAGCGGCAGCAGCAGCAGCAGCAGCAGCAGCAGCAGCAGCAGTGTGTCTGACGTGGAAAAGTCACATTGTGATTAAAAGAAAAGGAAAAAAAAAACTTTAGGAAGTGTTCCAGTTCTCATGTTCTCACCTTCTCTTCCTGATAGCAGAAAAAGAAACATGGCTGCCCACCGCAATGTCAGCTACGTCAGCTACGTTAGCTACGTCAGTTTGTTGACTGTCCGTCTTCAACACCAAACCTCACAGAGAGAATGAGTGATTTCAGCTGACAGCGACACTCCAGGAGTCCACAGGTCCACTGATGTCACTTCCTGCTCATGATGTCGTCCCACTTCTGTTCAGCCGCAAACCTAGCACCTCCCGGTGGTCAGTCAGTGGCTGTGCGATGCTCTGCTGACATCAAGGCTATGCAACAACATGAAATCTAAATGTGGAAAAACAGTCAGAAATAAACAGTTCCTGGTTCCTGTTCTACGTAACTTAGTTTATCAGATGTTGCGGAAGGACAATAAACTTCTTCTCCTCGGATTAGCTGAGCACCAGGGTTAACAGGCTAAAGAGCTAGCTCTCAGGCTAAGAGGCTAGCTCAGCTTTCTCATTTCGTAGACGTACCTTTGTCCAGAGGTGTGGTCCTGATCCGACTCTGCTCCAGCGTTGAGAAGAATCTACTTCCTGTCTGTGTGGGCTCAGAGGTTGTGGCGTCTTCGGACTCTACCTCACAGGTCAGAACCAGGATGGGAGCCTTCTCGGCCTTCAGGTGGATCTGGACCCTGTCCTGGCGTCAGAGGTACAGGATGTGGGTGGGGTCTGAAGGGTTCTGTGATGATGATGATGATGATGATGTCGTGGCGTGGAGCTGAGTCGGACTCTGGTCTTACCTCCGTCGGCGCAGGGATCTCCAGTTTGGTTTCTTCTGGAGCCTTCACCACCATCACCGTCTGCTCCTGGAGAACCCTGAGGCGTCGGAGGTCGTCCAGGGTCACGTAGGCCAACGTCACCACGGGTTAAAGAAATAAACACTCCTGAGTAGAATCGCTAAGTACCAGGAACTACAGCTGTGCTGTGCAGTCCTGTGAGTTCCTGGTACTGTCACCTGGTACTTTCTCTGCCATCTGGTTCATGACCAGTGGAAGGATATTTGGCGTTGGTGACATCATCGGTCATGTCAAAGAGCTGCTGAGCACAGCTCCTGATCAGAGCGTCCAGACCGTCCTCCACCTGCTTCAGACGCTGCAG